CCAGCGACTCACGGCAGCCCAGCTCCAGGTTGAGCTGTTGTTCAGCATCTTGGCTGTAGAGGGCAGTGTCACTGGCCCTCATATGTGGGATCCGAACCGGGGTCCTCTGGCATCCCAAGCGAGTTCTTAACCATCGCGCCACTCGGCCGGCCCCCCATCAGCTTCTCTTAAAGCATGATTTTCATCAAGAGGAAAGCTTTAGGATCACCAATCCTGGTTCCTCTTATAAAAGCCATTGTTTCAACTGGGAGGGTGTTACTGGCATCTAGTGGGTGCAGACCAGGGATGCTGTTCAACGCCTACAATACACAAGTGTTTGCTTCTGGCCCCTCCACTCCCTGGCAGGCCAGTTAAGCTCCCTGTACCTCAGCTTCCTCATGTGCAAGATGGGAATGATATCAAGACCCCGCTCCTTGGGTTGTTCTAAGCAGTAAGTGAATTAATATATGTAAAATGCTTAGAACAGCAGAGTTCAATATTATTTGATCTCTGACTTACTAGATTTCACTCTGCACCCCAAATTTCTCAGTCACCAGACAATGGGGCCAACTCCACCCCCAACTCCAGAGGTCAACCCTGACTGGCTTAAGGAAGAGGGTTCTACCTGCCTGGGCCACAGTGATTGGATCAGGTCTGGACATGTGACCTCAAGTGGTCCAATCACAGTGAAGGTCAGGGCTTTTGCAAGTGCTGTCTGGCCATGAATGAATCAAAGTGTAGCCCCAGGAGCTGCTGGACCATCTCAGAACTATGAGGGAAAGCTAGGATAGAGTGGAGTCCAGAAACCAAGAGGGCAAAATGGAGCTTGGGTCACATTTGAGCCTGTAGTTCTAGCCATGCCTGAAATCCATACCCTAGGTAGTAGTTCTATGAGCCAATAAATTATCTTTTTCACTTAAGTGATACCCTTCATGCCCTCCCAAAAAAGAAAAAAAGCTTCTCAAAGGCCCGCCCACTTCCCATGTGAAACCTGGCCTCTCCCTTACTCACAGTCTGCCTTCTTTGAGAGTCTCCATCCACGTCCCTCGCAAAGACCCACCCTCTCCTTTGCTCACTACCCACTTCCTTTGGAAGTCTCCATCCACTTCCCTTGTGAATCCCTGTCTTCTCCATTACTCACCTTCCACTTCCTCTTTTAGGCTCCACCCTCCTCTTTGCTCACCTCCCACTTCCTTTTAGAGACCCTGCGCTCCCTTTTGCTCAGCGCCTCCTCCTGTACTTACAGAGTACACGTCGTGTTTATTGCTGTTGGTCATTGGCAGCTTGTACTGGATGATTGCTTTTAGGGTCTTCACCCTGCTCTGTGGAATCTGAAAGAAAGTTCAGCTTGGACTTATGGCAACCCAGCCCTGGGAAAGACAGAAGCTGGATGCATGGCTTAAGCTCTCTCCTACTGCAACCCCAGCCTGTTTTTATTCCCCTCATTTCCTTGTCTTGGCTGACATGAAACAACCTGGTTTAAGGACTCCTTGGTTCTTTGTGGCCAGTATCAGTAGCCTCCAACAATTAGAGGTGGATGAAGACAACAGTCTCCCTGGGACAACATGTCTCAGCCCCAATTCTGCTGCACACAGTTGTTGAGCTGGCATCTTGCACCATGCAGCCAGGATTCAGCAAACCTTCTAGTTGGAGTTAGGCCGCAAAAATCCTTCATGAAGGTAGCTGGAACCTGGGCAGGTTCAGAACTCTCTACTTATCCCTAGAACTGTAAGGTTCAGGTGACCAGGGCTGCAGGATGCCTGTACCCTGTTCATGCGAAGCAAGGCGTGGACCTCTATGACACTGCTAGCCAATCCCATGAGAAAGTCACTTCCAACATCCATTATTATAAGTATAACCAAGTTATAATCTCTGGTGTGGATTGGAGAGAAAAGATGGTAAGTGTGCTTGTAACGGCAGACAAAAGTTTTTCAGAGAGCGGGAGCACACATCCCAAAAGCCTGTAGCTGGCAGTCGCTGGGGATGTTTGAGGAACAGAAGACCAGGATGGATGGACTGGAAGGGAGAGGGATAGCGGAGGAGGCAGGAAAGGATGGTAAGGGCTATGAATATTGCCCAGAATTAGATTTGCAAGTGGATCTGAATATCCAGTTTGGGAGGAGCATGTCAGGAGCCTGGCTTTGCATCTTCCATACAGAGCGACCAGAAACACACATCCCCCAGAAAACAGTACTTTCAGTGAAACTATGAGAGAGAAACCATTTAGATATTGCTTTATACATGTGAGGGCAAGTATACAGGAAGCAGGACAGGAAGCCCTAGCAGTGAGGTTGGTGCAGGGGGAAGGATGGGGTACATGGCATTTTCTAACAGTGGAAAAACCCAAATCATAAGCCAGTATTCATGGCAAGAAGGTGAAGCACTCTACTCATCACCTATCACCCGCCTCCCCCGCCCCCAGTGTGTTCTGCTATGAACAGAGGGCATGACATGAGTACCAAGGACCACAAAGGCATCATGGAAGAAAGCAGTTTCAAAAAAGCTCAAAGCTGGAGGTAGACGTCTGTCCTTCCTGAGCCAGGTAAGGAATTAAGTGTGGAAGGGAGCCTGGTGGCACATCTTCTGTTTCACTGAGTCTAGCTAGGATTTCACTGAGTCTGGAAAATGTACCCTAATTTCAGAGATGTGAAAATATGGGAGGACACGTAGCCGATGGTGATCTGAGAATACTGTCGATGGCAAGACACATCTCGACTCCAGAGATGTTAAAAAGTGGAGAAATACTCAGAAGTCATGAAATATTAAAGAAACAGTCATAGTGGCCCTTAGGCTGAGTGGTGAATCTGGTCACCTAGGCTCAACCTTCCCCAGGACTCCCCTCCCCTTAGGGTCTTCCTGCTAAAAGCTTGTTCAGGAAACTGCAGCTCATTCAAACATAATTGGAAAAGTTTCTACGTTATCCATACAAAGATATTATAAGGGAAAAAAAAGACAGAAATAAGAGTGGAGCCAAATTTCATTGTACACAAAGAAAAGTCACCGCAAAGAAAGGAAAATTGCCACCCAACATTCTAGCATAAAATTTAAAATGTTGTGAAGTAAATGCACCTGGTAAAGAAGAACACAAAGCAAACATACAAGCGATGGTGGAAGAGAGGGCCAGACACAAGAAAGAAGTGAAACAGGAGGTAGTAGAACTCAGGAAAGAACTAGAAGAGAAAGACAAAAGCATTGCAGAAATGCAGACAGTTATAAGAAATGAAGAAAATTACAAGGCTTGAAATAATCACACTTCAAAAAGAAAAATTACAGTGGACTGTATATAAAGCAATATGTAAACACATTTTAAAAATGGAGGCTGAGTAGGAAATGAAGTTAATATGAATTGGAAATTAAGCTCTGCCATTCCACCCTGCTGCTCCCAAAAGCAACGTTGCCAGTTACACCAAAATGGCCGTGGAAGACTCTGACTGAACCCACATATGTGGCAAGCTCCCCACCCCAACTGATTGTTAGCATCTACCTGGGAGCAAAAAGACACCTGGGCAGAGCACTTCCCCCTAGGTGACTGGTTTACCGAAAGGATTTTCTGTAACTGCAGGTCATTTTCAACAAGCAGGACATTCACTTTGGCACGAGTAATGACGTATTGACAAGCCTCCGCAGAGTTGGTGGCATAAATACCAACACAAAGGCCCCTGGGGAAGAAAAACCACACGTTCATGTGATGTGTACCCGTGCACCACACACACACACCTTAAGGGGAGAATGCCCTGGAAGGTGGTGGGGAGGGGCAAGGTCTGCAGTAGTTTCTGAGTTTGCAGCCTTGGCATCAGCTTCCCTCCTTCCACAATGTAACAGTGACAAAACCAAAAATGATCATGATGAAAGTGGAAATTCCTATGGTGTCATTAAGACATCAGCTCATGGAACCCTTTCAAGCACCCCATTTTATAAATGAGGAAACTGAGGCTCAGAGTGGTGAAGTCACTTGTTCAGAGGTGCCAAGGCAAATAAATGCCAGAGGTGGGATTTGGACCCCCTCAACCACCTGTTCCCTTCCTCACAGTCTTTTGTTCTTGCTTTTAAGCATTCTGTCGTGGTTTTCTGCATTTCCCAGATGGCTAATGACATTGAGCATCTTCTTTTTTTTTTTAAAGATTTTTATTGGGGAATTGGGGGGATGGGAACAGTGCTGGGGAATTGGGAGAAGGGGAACAGACAAGTTGCTGTCGTTTTGTTCTTCAGTCTAGTTGTGGAGGACGTTGCTTCACTGGCCCATGTTGGTATTATCATTGTGCTCTTCCCGGGTGCGGCAGTTTCTTGCTGGCCTCTGGACAGCTGCTTATGGCGGCTCTTGGCAGCTCACACTGGCTGCCGCCCGCTCACGCTGACTGCTAGCCACACAAGGTAGCTTATGGCAGCCCACTGCAGCTTCAGTTCAGCCTATGCTGTCGCCGTCCACTCACGGCAGCCCAGCTCCAGGTCGAGCTGTTGTTCACCATCTTAGCTGTAGAGGGCAGTGTCACTGGCCCTCATGTGGGATCCGAACTGGGGCCCTCTTGCTCAAGCCAGCTCTTAACCAACGTGCCACTTGGCTGGCCCTTAAGCATCTTTTTAAGTCCTTGTTGCCTACTTTGCTTTGTGACCTTTCTTGTTCAAGTCTTTTGCCCATTTAAAATCTTTTTGTCTTCTTATTACTGAGTTCTAGAAGTACCTTATATATTCGCGATACCAGTCCTTTGTCAGGTTGACTGGTTTGTGTATCTCGCACCTGCCAACCTGGGGCTGTCTGAACTCCTCGTTCACATCTCAGTGGGAAGTAGCCCAGGGCAGCCAGGCCCAGAATAGCAGCTCATCCACCTTGACAGTAAACTAGCGCATAGTCTTACCCTGCTAAGATGGCACCAAGAGAAGCAATAAACCACTCGACGGAGTTAAACCCCAGGATGCCAACTCCGTGGAACCGCTCCAGGCCCAGCTGGGGAGGTAAAAACAAAGAAACAGGAAAGAGAAACACAGAGATGTTTTGCTTCTGGTGGGATCTACTTGGTGGGATCTGCTTGTTGGGATGTGGGAGAGCACACTCCAAAGCCCACAGAGCCACATGGGGGAAAGCCAGCATGGAGGTTAATATCTGGGGTGTGATGTTTTTGTGACTATTGGGAGACTAGTTTGCCCCCATCTATATAATACCCCATTGATTTATTCTTATTTTTATTGTGGTAAACAATTGGCAACATAAATGTACCGTTTTCACTAATTTTAAGTGCACAGCTCAGTGGCATTAAGCACATTCCACACTGTTGTGCAGCTGTCCCCACCATCATCTCCAGAACTTTCCATCTTCCCAAACTGACACTCTCCCCATTAAACACTCACTCCCCTCCCCTCCCCCAGCCCCTGGCACCACCATCTACTTCCTGTCTCTATGAATCTGACTCCTTTAGGAACCTCCTATGAGGGGAATCACACAGTGTTTGTCCTTCTGTGTCTGGCTTATTTCACTGAGCCTAATGCCCTCAAGGTCCATCCATGCTGTAGCGGGTGTCAGAATTCCTTCCTTTTTAAGGCGGAATGATATTCCATTGTCTGAATGGACCACATTTTGTTTACCCATTACGCACTGATGGACGCTTGGGTTGTTTCCACCTTTTGGCGATTGTGAATAATGCTGCTGTGAACGTAGGTGTGCACATATCTGTTCAAATCCCTGCTTTGAAGTCTTTAGGGTATGTACCCAGAGGTGGAATGGCTGGGTCAGATGGTAATTCTGTTTACTTCTTTTGAGGAACTTCCACACTGTTTTCCCCAGCAGCTGCGTCTTTCTACATTCCCACCAGCAGTGCATGAGGGTTCCAATTTCTCCACAGCCTCACCAACACTTGTTATTTTCTGTTCCCTTTTAAAATAATAGCTCTCCTAATGGGTGTGAATTTATTTTTATTTTTAATAACAAAAGTACTCAAAGAGTGATCTCCTATAGTGGTGATAAATTGCACTTTTAAAAGTATGACCTTGGTTTGAATGTGGTTGTGGATGAACCAGGAATCCTGGACTTGAAGGTGACTGTCCTTGGGGGAGACCCCCCACCTTGGGTTGGGCTAACTCCAACTTTGTTGGCTCTTTTAATCATACGTGGCAAGGCTGGCAATGACGCCCTGTTTTTTATAAAAACATAGGCATTTGGCAGGCATCTGCCTGCTGATGCCTCAGAACGTGATGTGAAGTGTTTGTGCTTAGTGACAAAAAGGCTGTCTTCACTGTAGGAGTGTGTCTATTAATGTGTAGATAAACTGATATGTTTCTGAGTGGACCCCTGAGGTTTGGAGAGTAGAGGGTCCATGAGTTCCAGAACTGAGGGCATAACTAAAGAGGATGGTCTTTCAGGAGGGGTGAACTAACCACATCACTAAGGCCCTGGGCGAGGCAGCCAAGAGGGAACCCAGCCCAAGCAGACGGTTCTGAGTTGTGATATCTCAGTCTCTTAATGAAGACACATGGGCATCAGAGGAGGGGAGAAAGGAACTGGGGTCTAGGTCAAAATGTGATGAGATTTCCTATAGGTCAAAACCATCAGTAGATGCTCTTTTACAATAGTAGATACCTATTTTATTCACTATCTATTGCTGCACCATACAGCACCACAAATTTAGCGGCTTAAAACAACACACATTTATTATCTCAGCGCCCACAAGTCAGGAGTTCGGGGCAGCCTAATTGGGTCCTCTGCTTAGGATCTCCCAAAACTGCAATGAAGGCATCCCTGGGGACTGTATCCCCCCTGAAGCATGGAATCCTCTCCTGCACTCACATGTTGTTTGCAGAATTCATTTCCTGGTGTTTGAATGACTGAGACCCTGTTTTCTAAGTAGCTGTCAGCTGGGGACAGCTCTGAACTTCTAGACACTGCCTGCCATCTGCTGCCCGATGGCCCTCTCCACAGCATGGCAGTTTGCTTCTGCAAGGCCCCCGGGAGAATCGCTCGGTTAGTTCCTTTCCTGATTAGGTCAGGCCCACCCAGAACATTTGCCCTTTTGAGGAGCTCAAAGTCAACTGATCAGAGACTTTAATGACATCTGCTACATCTCTTCACCTTTCCACCACAGGAAGGAAATCCCATTGTAGCCATGAGTCCTGTCCATAGTCAAGGGGAGGAGACTATACAGCATGACTATACACGGCTGGAAATCCCAAGGTCATCTTAGAATTCTGCCTCAAGTGCCCACCAAACTGGCCAAGATGAACACTTTTGACAGTATGACATTGGTGGGCAGATTGTCTCATACGTGTGAGTGGGCATATAGAGGCACTTCTTTGTAAGAATTCATTGTACAAAGGGGTTTCACTGTGGCACCATGTATGTTAGCAAAAGGCTAGAAACAACTGAAATGCCCACCATCTGGGGGCTGGTTAAGTTAATGCTGTTATATACACAATTGCAGTTGTTGAAAAGAATGTAGATTTGTTTACATGGATCAATATGTAAGGGTCTCAGGGTATGGGAGCCAGCCTCCAAGATGGCCCCCAGTGACTCTCCTGTCCTGGTATTTATGTTCTTGCATAATCCATTCCCTGCCCGTTGTACAGAGGTTGGTCTGTGTATGGAAGAAGTGACAGCAGGTCATTGCTGAGGTTAGGTTATAAAAGATATCACGGCTCCCATCCTGTTCACACTCTTTTTTGGATCACTTGTTCTGGGGGAAGCTGGCTGCCATATTATGAGGATACTCCAAGGAAACTCCTTGGAAAAGGCCATGGAGAATGGAACTGAGACCTCCTGCCAACAGCCAGACATGTAAATAAGCTTAGAAGTGAAGTCTTCAACTCCAGTCAAGCCTTCAGATGATGCAGCCCAGGCTGACAGCTCAACTACAGCCTCGTAAGAGACCCTGAGCCAGAAATATCTAACTAAGCCACTTGTGAGTTTGTGACCTACAGAAACTGTGAGATAATAAATGTTTGCCATCTTAAGTCATTAAATTTAGGATGGATTTGTTATGCAGCAGTAGCTAACTAATATATCGAGATACTATGCTGAGTGGGAAAAGGCAAGATACAGAATCACAGGTATAGTATACTACTATGTGTGTAAAATTTTACATAAAATTATATAATATATACACATAAGTTATTCCCAAAAAAGACGTACAAAAAACTGGCAATGGTGGCCGCCTTCATAAGGGAGGAGTCAAGGACTGGAGGGAAATTTTTCACCAGTTAACCTTCATATCTTGTGGGCCTTGGGCATCATATGTGTGTATCATATATGTATATTTATTTCCTATTATGAATGAATGATTGAATGGTGATGAATGAATGAAGAAAGGAAGAAGGAATGAATGATTCATTTACCTTGATGAAGGCTCTTGCAGCCCTCCAACAAGCCTCGTAGTACTGGCTGAAATTCAGAACTTCCCATTGTCCTCTTTTCTTTGATGCGAGGGCCGGATAAGTCCCAAATCGGTTAGCTGACTCCCGAAAAAATTCAGGGATGGTTATCGGGGCCTCATGGCCTGGCCCATGTTTTGATAGCCTTAGAAGGACTTCTCCATGTGGGTGAATGGTCCACAGCCCAGAAGTAAGTGGCATTATGTCTAAAAACAACAATGCACATACCTTAATTTAGAAATTTTTTATTGCTAAAAAAACTGCTAACCACCATCTGAGCCTATTGGAAAAAATGGTACTGGTAGACTTGCCACAAACTTTCCATTTGTAAAAAACACAATATCTGCGAAGCCCACTAAGGAGAGGCACAATAAAATGAGGTATGTCTGTACCCTAGTCTGGGTGGCTAAAATAGCAGAAATTTACTCTCTCCCAGTGCTGGAGCTGAAAAGTCTAAGATCAAGGTGTCAGCCAGTTGGTTCCTTCTGAAGCTGTGATGGAGAATCTATGCCAGACCTCTCTCTCCCCTACCTTCTGGTGGTTTTCTGGCAATCTGTGGTGTTCCCTGGCTTGTAGAAGCACCTCTGCCTTTTCTTCACATGACATTCTCCCCGGGTGTGTGTCTGTCCAAATTTCCCCTTTTTATAAGGACACCAGTTATATTGGATTAAGACCCATCCTATCAGCAATGACCCTATTTACAAGTCACATTCTGAGGTACTGGGCAACTGTTAGGACAGCAACATATGAATTTGGGAGAATGTCTTAGTCCATTTGGGCTGCTGTAGCAAAATACCATAGACTGGGTGCCTTATAAACAACAGACATTTATTTTTCAGAGTTCTGGAGGCTGGGAAATCAAAGAACAAATTGCCAACAGATCTGGTGTCCCCACCTCCTGGTTCATAGACATCTTCTCGCTGTGTCCTCACATGGCAGAAAGGGCAAGGGAGCTCTCTAGGTCCCTTTTATAAGGGCACTGATCGCATTCACAAGAGCTCCACTCTCCTGACCTAATCACCTCCCAAAGTCCCCACCTCCAAATACCATCACATTGAAGGGGGTACATTTCAACCTATGAATGGGGGTACACAAACATTGAGACCATAGCAGAGGGACACAATTCAACCCATAACGACCTACATCAAGAGAAGGCTAGTTCATAGAGGTCCCTCCACGCCCCCAAGAGGAATCAGCAGTGGGAGTCACACCAGCTTACAACAAAATCACCTAGTGGAGACGGGGGCACTGTGAGGTGAGCACCATCGAGGAAACTGAAGAGCAGCTCATCATGCCTCCCTCACACCCATGGCTCCAGGCATCTAGCCTGAAGCCTGGGGGATGGGAGGAGCCTTAAATTGGACAAAAATGTGGAGGGGTGTCACCTGGATACTGGTGAGGATATTTTAATGACTGCAGTGGGTTGAACAGTTTCCCTCCAAATTCATGTACAAAATCTCAGAATGTAAACTTATTTGGAAATAGGGTCTTTGCAGGTGAAATTGGTAGAGGATTTCAAGATGAAATCATGCTGGATTGAGGGCGGGCCCTAAGTCCAATGACTGGTGTCCTTAGAAGAGGAGAGGACACAGAAATGCACAGAGTGGAAGGCCACGTGAGGACAGAGCCAGAGACCAGAGTGATGAGGGTGCAGACTCACGAAGGCCAAGGATCACCAGCAATCACCAGCAGCCACCAGGCACATGGAAGAGATTCTCCATCACAGCTTCCAGGAGGAATCAACTGGCTGACACCGTGATCTCAGATCTTTGGCCTCCAGAACTGGGAGGCAATAAGTTTCTGTTGTTTCAGCCACACAGTCTGGGTTGCTTTGTTATGGCAGTCCCAGGAAATTACCTTTTGTTTTTTTCATGTCTTCTTCAGGGTCCTCAGCCTCCTCTTGAGTCGTTGGGGTTTCAGCCCGTCTGGGTCTGCAGAGACCATTCTTCACAGTACTGCAAGGCATATAGCAGGGAACTTAGTAGGACTGACAAAAGGGCTATAGGGTCGAGGCCAACTGTCACACATTGGTCATGTCTGCCTGGAATCCCAGGATCGATTAGTCATGCCTGTTTGGGGCCTAGGAGGAGAAGAGAGTGGTACGGACGCCAGATCATAGAGCAATTGTAAAGTTCAGAGAGTATTCATCTGTGAGTTTCTTAAATGGTTAGAATATAGAGGCCAAGTCTATAAATGATATTGTGGGTGAGAAAACAACTCACCTTCCCCCACCCCCACCCCCACCTTCCTGCAATACATCCATACAATAGAACTCAGCGACAAAGAAGAATTAACTATTGATACAACAATTTGAGTGAGTCTCAAAAGCGTTACGTTGAGCAAAACGAACCAGACTTGAAAGACTGCATGCTTTATAATTTCTGGAAAAGGCAAAACTATCATGATGGAGAACAGATCTGAGGTTCCCAGGGGCTGTGGCAGGAAGTGGGGTTGACTATGAAGGGAAAACATGAGGGAATTTGGTGGGTGATGGAAATGTACTGTATCTGACCATGTTGGTGGTTACACGACTCTGCGCTTCATCAAAACTCATAGAACTATAGATGTGAACTCTACTATATATGGGAAAAGTGTACTATACTTCTTAAAATGGACAATTAAAAAATATTCTTTGGGGGCCAGCCGAGTGGCTCAGTTGCTTAAGAGCGCGAGCTCTGAGCAACAAAGTCACAGCTTTGATTCCCACATGGGCCAGTGAGCTGCGCCTGGGCTGAGCTGCTGCTGAGCTGCCAACAGGTGGCAGGATGGCTCAGCTGGTGAGAGCACGTGCTCCTAACAACAAGGTTTCTGGTTCGACTCCACATGGGATTGTGGGCTACGCCCACCCACAACTAATTGAGCACAGCACCTTGAGCTGAGCAGCGCAACTGGACTTGGAGCTAATCTAGCTGCGTCCTCCACAACTAAGACTGAAGGACAACAACTTGGCTGTTCCCCTTCCCCAATTGCCCAATAAAATCTTTAAAAAATATATTCTGTAGCTAATTCATTGAGTTTTCAGGTATTACTAAAGATAAAATATAAGAAGAAAATAACTTATTAGCAAATAGCTTCCCATTTTCTATATAGATGTAGGTCTTATTCATATTATGTCCATTAGTCTCATGTATTAGGTGTTAAAAAGTCTTCATCACTTTTCCAAATATGTGTGTTACATGTTGGTAGAATTATGTCAGCCTAAAGAGTAGAATTTCGTACAGTCAATTAAAGTTTTATAAGTGAAGGTTTAATTTGGCAAATTAAAAAGGAAAAAAAGTGGGTAAAAACAGTCTATTTAATAAAGGACATTAGGAAAACTGGACAGATATATGCAAAAAAAAAGAAAAGAAAGAAAGAAACTGGACCACTTTCTTACGCCATATACAAGGATAAACTCAAAATGGATCAAAGACTTAAATGTATGACTCAAAACAATAAACCTCCTAGAAAAAAATATAGCAAGTAAACTCACAGACATTACCCTGAGTAACATTTTTACTGATGTGTCTCCTCAGTCAAGGAAAGCAAAAGACAAAAACAAATGGGATTACATCAAACTAAAAAGTTTTTTTCACAGCAAAGGAAATCATCAACAAAACAAAAAGACGTCTTACTGAATGGAAGAAGATATTTGCCAATGATTCATCTGAGAAGGGGTTAATATCCAAAATTTGTAAAAAACTCACACAACTCAACGCCAAAAAAAAAAAAAAATCAAACAACCCAATTAAAAAATGGGCTGAGGACATGAAGAGGCATTTCTCCAAAGAGGACATATAGGTGGCCAAATAGACATATGAAAAGATGCTCAATGTCATTAATCATCAGAGAAATGCAAATAAAAAACATAATGAGATACCACCTCACTCTGGTCAGAATGAACATCATCAATAAATCAACAAACAACCAGTGTTGATGAGGATGTGGAGAAAAGGGAACCCTTGTGCACTGGTGGTGGGATTGCAAATTGGTGCAGCCACTATGGAAAAAAGTATGGAGGTTCATTAAGAAATTAAAAATACAAATACCTCAAGATTCAGCAATTCTACTGCTGGATATCTATCCAAAGAGATCCAAAACACTAATTCGAAAAAATATATGCACCCCTATGTTTATTGCAGCACTATTCATAATAGCCAAGATATGGAAACAACTGAAATGCCCATCAATAGACAACTGGATAAAGAAGAAGTGGTACATTTTTACAATGGAACACTACTCGATCATAAAAAAGAATGAAATCTTACCATTTGCAACAACATGGATGGACCTAGAGAATATTATACTAAGTGAAATAAGTCAGACTGAAAAAGACAAATACCATATGATCTAACTTATATGTGGAATCTAAAGAACAGAATAAACAAGCAAACAAAACTAGAAATAGATTCAGAGATACATGGAACAATTTGATCGTTACCAGATGGCAACAAAAGCACTGGAAGAATTTCCATGAAGTCAGTAATAAGACAAAGACATCAGCTGTCACTGTTACTGTTTGGTGTTGACCTGGAGGTTCTTAGCCAATGCAGTAAGATAAGAAAAAGAAATGAGAGGAATAAAGTTTAGAAACAGGCAACATTGTCATTTTGTAAATAATATGATTGACTATCTAGACCAGGGGTCGGCAAACTTTTTTTTTTTTTACAGTTTATTAGGGTGACAATTGCTAGCAAAGTTACGTAGGTTTTGGGTGTTCAATTCTGTAATACATCATCTATATATCACATTGTGTGTTCACCACCCAAGGTCAGCTCTCCTTCCATCACCATATATTTGTCTCCCAATATGTTTTTTTTATTAAATTATTTTTTATTATGAAATACACATTTTTTAGAATTAGTTTTAGCTGTACAACACAGTGCAATAGTTATACTTTTTACCCCTCGAAGTGACAACCCCCCTCCCCCATCAGCAAACTTTTGAGACAAAAGAACTGCCGGGGTCATCAGACTGTGGCTCGCAAGCCGCAGGCTCTGAAGTAAAATTGAAAATGAAAATAAAACTATCATAGTTTCATTTATAAAACTTTTAAAGGATATTATTCACATAATGGTGATTATATAAAAATATATTTATGGCTCTCAAATAATTTTAAATTGTGTGAGGGACAGGATTGACTCTTCCAGGGGTCGGCAAGCCTTTGAGACGGAACGTACCCAAAGAGCCACATGTGGCTCACAAGCCGCAGTTTGCCAACC